TTGGAGAGATTAGAATGCGTGCCCCTCTTCTCTGTACTTTTTTTTTTTTTTTTTTTTTTTTTTTTTTTTTTTTTTTTTTTTTTTTTTTTTTTTTTTCCTTTTTTGGCTTCCTTTTTTCTTTATCTTTATCATGACACGAGGTACCACGGTTGAAAGAGACAACAGGACCAATGTTTCTATTTTCTAACATTACTCTAAATTCTTTCCAGAAATATCACAAGAATGTGATAGGGAAGTTTATCTTTTCGCTTAAAACAGATGTTTTCATATCCTTCATGTGACTTTCGCTTCTTCTTAATTATAAAATTATTTTTATATATCACAGTTTTAAGTTACAAAATATAATCAAGTAAAAGATGAATATGAAGTGGGGATTGGATTCTATCCAAAGTTGTCTTTGTGGGTTCCAACTTCCACAAATGCGAGAATTCAACATATTGAAATTCTGAAGTATTGTTTTCTTTTTGAATCTAATGATCTTAATTTTACCTCATTTGGGAATCAGAGGCATATTTCCGTTGCATACGATTTTTGGTACCAAGAATTTGTTCCATAATTGACTGCACATGATTGTCAATATTCACCTCTGATGGATAGAGATTGGAATTGGATCTATGCGTTATGCAGTGTTCTGCTTTATTGCTGCCCGCCCAATAAAAGAAAAGGGAATGAAAGATAAAAGGTTGTTTCTCTTGTACAATAAGGAAAATATCTTCAGATCACATTAATGTAATAAATTTGAGTTAAAAGAAAAGGGAATGAAAGATAAAAGGTTGTTTCTCTTGTACAATAAGGAAAATATCTTCAGATCACATTAATGTAATAAATTTGAGTTTTCATTAAACATCATTTCTTTTAGTATTTTTTTTTTTCCTTTTTTGGCTTCCTTTTTTCTTTATCTTTATCATGACACGAGGTACCACGGTTGAAAGAGACAACAGGACCAATGTTTCTATTTTCTAACATTACTCTAAATTCTTTCCAGAAATATCACAAGAATGTGATAGGGAAGTTTATCTTTTCGCTTAAAACAGATGTTTTCATATCCTTCATGTGACTTTCGCTTCTTCTTAATTATAAAATTATTTTTATATATCACAGTTTTAAGTTACAAAATATAATCAAGTAAAAGATGAATATGAAGTGGGGATTGGATTCTATCCAAAGTTGTCTTTGTGGGTTCCAACTTCCACAAATGCGAGAATTCAACATATTGAAATTCTGAAGTATTGTTTTCTTTTTGAATCTAATGATCTTAATTTTACCTCATTTGGGAATCAGAGGCATATTTCCGTTGCATACGATTTTTGGTACCAAGAATTTGTTCCATAATTGACTGCACATGATTGTCAATATTCACCTCTGATGGATAGAGATTGGAATTGGATCTATGCGTTATGCAGTGTTCTGCTTTATTGCTGCCCGCCCAATAAAAGAAAAGGGAATGAAAGATAAAAGGTTGTTTCTCTTGTACAATAAGGAAAATATCTTCAGATCACATTAATGTAATAAATTTGAGTTAAAAGAAAAGGGAATGAAAGATAAAAGGTTGTTTCTCTTGTACAATAAGGAAAATATCTTCAGATCACATTAATGTAATAAATTTGAGTTTTCATTAAACATCATTTCTTTTAGTACGTATTTTTAGTCCTTTTAGTGTTTCAAAAATTTAAGATAAATTTATTTTTATTTTTTAAATTTAAAATTCATTTTTTTTATTTATATAATTAAAAAAAATATATGTTTTAGTTGTTATATTTAAATTTTGTCAAAGAATCTATTAAATATTATTACATAAAATTTACCTATTGATATGTTTTTTGAGAGATCAAATAACCTAGTTGCAATATGCCACACGTTGTGGTTCATAATGGTCTAGCCACTTAAACTACTCGCATATGTTGAAGGAGATCTCTTTAATTAATATGTGTGACGATGCATTAGTTGAATATTGATATTGATGATTAAAAGTGTAATATGTTAAAGTTGTTATATGTTGTAATAATTTGCAAGTTATTTGTATAATACTCAATGATAAGTGAAAGTTGTATAATGAGTTGGATGTTATTGCTTAGTTGATTCAAGTTGTTACTCAATATTGTTATTACATGTTGATTATTTCACAAGCTAATCTTGTGTTTTTCTAGTAGTTGGAACTGCAATAATTATATTATGTATGAAAGTAGGGCAAGGTTAGTAGGTTGGTTTGTTTAACTATGGAAGATCATGTTGGAGTTGACCAATTTTATTTTTTATGATATTGCTCTTATAATTTTGGTCTTGTGTAGGCACTTAATTGATAAGTAGATTTTTATAGTGTATAATGATCTCATGTAAATGATGTGTGTGCGTGTAAGAACTGATTTTAGTTTTCTAATTCCTTACATATATCTATATACAAGATATTTGTTATCTGTTACATGATAACTCTTGATTAGTTAACATTTGTTATTTCTTCCCATTACATACTAACTAAATCATAGTGAATATGACATGCCATTACAATCACTAATAATGTAAGAAACTAGTATTTCCATCAATACTAATTAACTACCCACTTATTTTTCTTTAATAAAAATATGATATATCTTTTTCTTTTTCAGAATATAAATGGAGGACTCATCTAATTTTTTTAACAATAATCATAACTATATATATATATATATATATATATTATTTTTATCTCATTTATATTTTGTTATTCTTCATTTTATCACAACACTTATTATATTTGACTCCTTTCTTTCTATATTTTTATTATTTATCTTTTTTACTTTTGCCACTCAACTAAATTTTAGGGGTTAATATATCTTTTTAATAATGAATTATTGAATTTTTCTACTTTTTTTTACATTGCATGTACCTAATAAAAGAAATAGTTAATCATCTATACATTGTCAGTGTAAAATTTTTTTATACTGACAACCAATTATATCTTTTAATTGTACCATGTAAATGTGTTTATATTAACATGACACAATTAAAAAATATAATTAGTTATCGATATAAAATTTATTTATATTAACAATGTATATAGATGATTAACTCTAAAAAAAAATATAAATCAAATTTTAAGAAAATAATAATAATGTATTAAATAATAATTCACTATTATAGTGTAATTTACATGTCTCTTCTCGTCTGGTGTGGTGTGCACCGAATTGCAAATTAATATTATGTGAATTGTGAAAGCATTTGCAACGTCATTTTCACTTCCCCTTCCATATTGCTTTTGCAGGCGCCGTCTTTTCATAAATAAAACTCTATAGTTTATAATATCTTTTCCGATATTCTTCATATTCACCAATTTATCATTCTCTTCAAACTTTACAGCAACATTCACCCTAGAAAAAAGTGAAGACAATTTTAACAGACACTAAAAAAGTAAACCATTTTTTATATATTTATGTAAATATTGTATTAAAAATATTAAATGTTTTTATAAATATTTGTTTTCATGATTAATTTACTTATATATATTAATTAATTTTATATATTATATTAATACAAATTTAAATATTAAAATTATGTTTTATAAATTATTTTGTGTCATATTATATTATATATAAAAATCTACTTAGTTACATATTTATATAATTGTATACATATATTTGTGTGTGAATGTGTGGGTGTGCTTGTTCCTACCTCTTATTGTCTCAAAATTATCTATTATCATTAACTTAACTAATAATTATTATGTATAGTTAAAAGTTGTAAAATAAATAAGTGTGAAAATTTTGTGTTATTCTTTATTCATTCAATAATATACGAAATAAAAAATTTAATAATTTAAATTTTTATCATTTGTTAACTTTTTTATTTATTTATTGTATATTAGTGTATATCAAATATACTTATATATATCATTTTAATTTTTACGATTTCATAAATTTTACTTTTTAATCGTTACGATAAATAAATAACAAAGACAACTCTTCTTATAAAGTATTTTAGTGTGCATCAAACACACTCTTATATTTAAAAACATTATATTTTATTATTTATACATATCAATCATTTTTTTTAAAATTCTTATAATTTCATAACTTTTACTTTTAATCCTTATGATAAATAGATAGACAAAATAAAAATATAAATATAAATTAAAATAAAATATTTTAATTATAAGAATTAATATATAAAATTTATGAAATTATAAATACCATGTGAGTATTTAAATCAATAAATATATAAATAATTAATAAGCCTGATAAAAAAATAGATAATAATTTAATAAAAGTTCTTAATTCTTCCACCATAATTTTAGTCTCTTTTTGAAAAAGAAAACAAAAGGAATATATGAAAAAGAACTAGTGATTAAATGAGGTTGAAATGAAGAACTTAAGAGTGATGGTTGCCTACTCATTGGTCATGTCTTGTTTATTCTTGCTCTGGATATTAAATTGCACGCTCGAGTCTTTCAACCATTGATGCAATGAATTTTCAGTGTTTTATTTGTTTAAACGTTAAACTGTAAACCATTAGCGCTCATTTGTTTGTGTACCCCTTATTGTTTATTTAATAGATTTAATTTAATAAAGGACAAGATTGAACAAGTAGTGAGTGAAAGGCTTTGAATTTCATAATTTGCCACCAAAGAAACCACTCTTTATTTTCGAGAGTTGTTATGCACTTAAAAAAAATATTAATTTCAATTAACCAACCTAAAAAGATAATCATTTATAAAAACTAAATTTGCACAACCGAATAAATTTTATAACACAGTCAAATAAAGTAATATTTTGTGTTTTTGGAATTATCAAGCAATCTAAAAACAGACAAACAGTATCGGGTCCTGTGACGCTGGTTGATGTACTCATGTAATCTCTCATTGGCTCAACATAACTGCATAGACAAAAATTAAATATTAATTTCTATTATTCATATAGTTTTTTTTTTAATCTCGATTATAGAACTTCTTTGTTTTATGTGTGTGAAATTAATCATTAATAAAATTCTTTTAGCTCATTCTCTTTCTTCTTCGTCCACCTCTCTCTGCATAAACTTTCTCCTTTGTGTGTTTTTTTTTTCTCTCTCTCTATACCTCTCATTCACAAGATCTTGCTTGTTCTTACTCTTTTATTTTTCTTTTTCAAAAAGCAAATAATGATTTTTCTGAAACTGCACTAACTCTTTTTTTTTTTTTTTTAATTTATTTATCTGGAAGCCGAAAACATATCTATGTTTGTCCTTTTCACTGCTTGGGTGTTTTATCTGTTGCGCTTCTGCACAACACCGACCCCTCAACCTTCCCTTTAAATCAATTCCTCCTTGAATTTTGTGCAACCAAGTTTTCTCTTCCTTCCCATTTGGGTTACTTCTCACATAAGATCCTTCTCATTTTTCATTTTTTTATTTTTATTTTTTTTTGTTTTTCGTTTTTCACCTCTAATGATTCTCTAGCTTCTGGTATCTTTGGAAGTATGGATTCGAATTCCCGTTACCAAGTTCAGCAACCCAATTCTGGGTTACTTCGTTTTCGCTCTGCTCCTGCTCCAGTTCTGGCCAATTTCAAACAAGGCCAAGCTGTGAATAACGGTAACCCGTGGGAGGGTTCTGAAACCGTTTTCAGATTCTTCAATTCCGACACGACCACGTGGCCCAGGTTACGAGAATTCGTGGATAATAAGGTGGCTCCTAATAACGCAGCCAAGGAATCATCATCACCTCTGGGTCGCATGAATTCCCAACAGGGTTATACTACTTCTTCTTCTTCTGTGTTACCCTTACCCCCGAGGCATGACTCTGGTGTAACTTCAGATATCATGCTGGGTTCTATAGGAATGGATCAGAGTACAAACAAAAGTTTTAATTCTCATCTTCTCCGCCAGAGTAGCTTCCCTAACAACATCTCCTTTCAGAACGGTACCCTACTTGTTCTATCTGCACTTTTGTTCTAATTACTCTGCAATAATATTCTCTTTTAACACTCTTTGTTATTCAATAATCATCTCACATATCATTTGATCTTTATCTCACTTATTAAAAATTTGTGATTTTTAATTGATTTCGGTTAATCTTAAAAAACTCACCACCTTTTAGGTCATTTTAATGTTTTTGAGATGTCCGCATCTTTTTAGCATTACATGGGAAATATTTCGTGCCGAATGAAATAAAGTTGGTGAAAGAAGGTTGTATCTAGACCGAATTCAATTGCAATACATGTTCTGACTTTTGAAATCAGACGGCTATTAATAGGATATGTTTAATTATTTATGATTAACAGCCTAATATATAAAATGTTTAATGATAACAGAACTGTGATATAACTTTTTAAAGCTGTGGTGCTTGTACGGAACACTATAGTGGAAATTTAAGAATATTTTTGTTTTGTAGTAACTTCTGTTTGAGAATCTACGAGCTTTTGACTTTCACGTTGGTATTATGTTGAAAAGAAGAAAGTCTTCATTGTTGTTACTGAGAAGTGATGTATATTACAGGGTATGATGCTATGAAAGGTGTTGGAAACTACGGTGGGGTTAATGACAATGATGGTGAACTTAGTCTATCTATGAACAGAATGAAGAGTCAAATTAGCTTCTCTTCAAGGAATCCTTCTTCCTTAGGAATGCTATCACCAAACTCCAAAATGGGAAATGAAGGTGTTGGGATAAATAGCCCTGAGGATGGGAGACATGAAGGTAGCAATGGTGATGCTCGATATTTTGGCCCTGGATTCTCTTATGCTTCATGGGATGACACTTCACATCTGAAAAGAAAGAGAAATAGTAATGATGAGTTGCTTTCTGATGCACAGGTATATTGGATTTTCAATTTTGTTACTGTATTAATTGTTCCAAAGTCTTTTCTGTTGTTAATACAATATACTGTCATGCTCAGCATGGAGAGGTGGGAAATCAAGTTCATACACTTTCGCATCAGTTGAGTTTGCCAAGAACTTCGTCGGAGATGTTTGCTATGGATAATTTGCTTCAGTTCACGGATTCTGTTCCTTGTAAAATCAGAGCAAAGAGGGGCTTTGCTACTCATCCTCGAAGCATTGCTGAAAGGGTAAAGATATATTATCTGTATAAGCCAAAACGTGTTTTCACAAACAATGAGTAATGGATGATTAGGTCCAATTCACGGACTAATTTGTAAAATATTATTGTTTTCAGGTGAGAAGAACTCGAATAAGTGAACGAATAAGAAAATTGCAAGAGCTTGTTCCAAACATGGAGAAGGTTAGCTTCATAACACAAGTTGATTTGATAACACTTTATTTAGAATGTGTTTAGATAAAAGTTTAGTTTTGAGATCTTTTTTTTACCCAAAATAAACAACTTTTTTTCAAACACTCTTACTATTTATAGTATTTGGAATTTTAACATTCTTGAGCAATTGGCAGCAAACCAGCACGGCAGAGATGTTGGACTTGGCTGTAGAGTACATAAAAGATCTTCAGAAACAATTCAAGGTACTTAAATAAAAGGGACAAGTTATTTGGATCCTCATACTCATACTCATAGTCGTGCAATTAATGACTCGTTCATGCATGCACTAATTAACATTTTTACTACCTTGCTGCAGACACTGAGCGAAAGACGAGCTAAATGCAAATGTATAAACATTCACAAGTCAGAAACAAATCAAATTGCTTGAGTTTCTTTTGTAGAGGTAATAAAAGGAACTATGCAGACATGGATTGGACCCGGGTTTATATTTTGACGTGCTGAAAATCAGCAGAAAAAAAAGTTAATATAAGATGCAGAAAGCCAGCTTTTAACTCTTCCCGGCTACATTGTGTACTTTAAGTTAACGGGGTTTCATCCACACAGACAATAAATCAAACAGTTTAATTTGTAATTTTGTATACGAAAATTCTATTGTTTTAATTTAGCGTTATATATATATATTTTTTGTTATGGTTACCAAAGATTCCACAGAGTTTGGATTAGGATATTTATCGCTTATTATCATTGAATTGATGCATTATGGAATATATGAATTAAACTGTGCAGTAATTACTCTACTTATGTTAGTGATGGCAAATTGTGTGAAGAAACTAAATACTGTAGTAGAAAATAGCGAAGTGATGCAGTTATGACCGTAAGAGGTGCTTCACGCTTGGATCCTTGCACGGAGATTCTGAAAATGGTTATTGAATATGACTCACAAAGTTGACGGTTATACTAAATATAGCAAATAGGTTCATGTCATAAAACGGGCTTCAGCTTGAAATCATATTTTTAGCCCTACTTTTAGTTTTTAGTCAAAATATATAGAAAGATAAAATAGGCAAACTATACAGCTCTTATAAATTTTGTACCCAAAAAACAGCTCATTAGAATTTGAGCTGAACAAGAAAATACTTATATATATATATATATATATACGAGTTACTTTTCTTCTCCTCTTGAATTACATAAAAAAAAAGTATTATTGTTCATAAATTTTTCTTCTTTAGTTTTTCCCTTTCTTCCAAACATACAATTAATGTAATTAATCATTTAAACTTATCAAGCTAAGTGAGGAGTTTGGCAATATTGCACGCGGATTGAATGTGTCTTGTTTCATGTTATATATGGCTATCACATGTAGATCATTGACAACAATGATTTATCTCATATTAATTGTATTTCATTCCATTTTGGCGGCTATTTGTTTTGTACACTTGCTTTCAATTTGCATTTTAATATAAGGTCCCAAATAGAGTAGGTGTTGGTAAATTACGTGGAATGTTCTTTGAGTTATTATATAATGATAAAACGAACTGCCATTCTAACGTTATTATGATATATTGGCAAATTTTCTTTTATAAACCTCTTGACCCAATACAGAAGTTTTTGACTTTAATGAACTCAAAAGATAAATAAATTTTAGGGCATAGAAAACCATCAAAGTATTTTGCATGTATTAATAAGACAAAGGTACAACTTAGATTAATTTTTTAATTATATAATAATGCATGTGTAAAAAATTCTAATATCAAACAAAAATCATTTCGTGAAAATTATTGTGACTTAATTGTTATTGGACAAACCAATTATAGATTATCCAATTAAGAAAACACCCTTATATTTCTTAGTCCTGTCATTTAAGGGGTTGTTGGTTGAGTGATTATAAATTGTTTAATTAAACAAATGTTTGAATCTTTTAAATTTGACACTTGTAAGACTATAGGCTAATCGATTATAGATTGTTTAGCCATATGCAAGTACCTAAACCTATCAGACTTTACACTTAAGGGGTTATGGACTATTCAAACTAAGGTCTATTTGATATGATTAAGTCTCTAATCCTTGGAGCAAACAATACTCAATAAACAAACATGATCTCACTTGGTCATCATATAAAGTCACTCATAAAAAGCTTGTTGAGATTATTGAGTTCTTAATTGACTTTATGACTACTTAATATATTTTTGGATGTAAACGTCAACGTTTGCGTGGGACTGATAAAACTCTTCTTGGTAGTCACCATACTTGCAATTCACAACCATGAGGTTAATATTGAAATCGATTCAATTCTTACCTGGATTTTATCAAATTCAAATTACAATTAAATCAATTTGATGATGAATTGAGAAATTGAATGACTACATTAGATGAATTTTACTTTAGAAATTGATCTAATTCAATTTTACTTTACAAAAGAGTTTGTATGAATTTTTTTAACTTTTTATTTAATTTGATTTTTATTTAGAATAATTATTTATGAATTAAATATTGATAATTTAAAAAGAAATTATTAATAATTAAAAATATAATTTTTGTTACAATATAAATTATATATCATAATTATTAAATATAATTTATTTGTTCAAAATATTTATGTACACTAATTTTAAATATAATTTATATATTCAAACATAATATATATATGAGGTGAGTTATAATAGCAATGATGTAACTTTTACTAAGTATTACACCGCTTAATAATATTATATTAAATATTAATTTTGTAAATCCAATTATTAGATCGAAAGTTCTTTACTCTTATATCACTCTTATATCATATATACAAAATTTTATATTAATCAAATATGATTTGATATTTCATTCTTATAAAACAAAATTGACGTAATATATACATTTCATAATATACTAAAATATGAATACTTTGATTACCTTTTCAAGTTATTATTTTATTTTAGCAAAATTTGATATGAGTATATAAAGTGATATGAACTTCTAATCTAACGGTTGGATTTACAAAATTTACATTTAATATAAAATTATTGAGCGGTGTAATATTTGCTAAAATTACACCGGTATTATTATAGCCTTCCTATATATATAATTTATTATAAAATTTAATTATATATAATAAATATGTATGTACATTCGACAAAATAAAATATTAGTATTAAATAGAATAATTGAATGCAAAAATCATAGGAAAAATAATAAAAAGTAACATTGCTGGAGAAAATAAAATTGACCTCGTTGATTTAAAAATGATTTCATCTCAAATACGAATCCTTCTCAAACACAAGTACCAAGAGTGACAGATTGAAGAAGGGCGAGGGTGTGTTCGACATCCTAATTATTTTTGTTTTAAAAATATATGTGGTTTTCAATTTTATATAAAATATACTAGGTAAATTTGTAATTTATATATATATATATATAATTATTAATTTAAGTTTAAAATGTCACATTCTCACATGCAATAATGATTTTAATTTGGTATGTTGTATAGTTTTGTTTTTGACCCAACCCTTAGGTGTTGTTTATGTGCGTGGAAAAGTAGGGAAAAAACATAAGCGAAATCAGGTGAATTGGGAAGCCCATATAAGTTAGCGGTGGAAGAAAAGCCCAAAGATTTGAAAAGAAAGAATAGGGGAAGAAATTTGAATGCAGGAGAGGATCTCCCGCCCATTGGGGGATTTGAAATTCGAAAGTGGCCGTTTCATTTTGGAGAGAGATTAGTTTGATATAAGTGCGCCCTTTTTCAATTTTAAAAATTTGCCATTACGGTCTTAACTCTAAACCCTTTTCCTTCTTCATATTTGCTCTCGCAAATACACCACCCAAACCCCTCCAGCCATGCCCCAATCACGTGACCGACGCGTACTCCCCGCCGAAGACCTCGCCGCAATCTTCGCCCGCCGCCGCGCCGCCCTCATCTTCCACGACCACTCTCCTCCCCCTCCAAGAACACCCGCCGCCGCCTCCCGCGCACGCGCTCTCCACGCGCGGGGCTCCGAGAACACTCCTCCCTCCGGAAGTGTCCGACGCGGAAGGCCGCGCGTTCCCTCACGCTCCCTCCTACCTCCTTGGTACCCCCGCACCCCGCTCCGCGACATCACCGCCGTCGTTAGGGTAAGTTTAACCCTAAACCCCAAAACGCCACGTCGTTTCGCTTCTTTCGTTTTTGTTTCGCTCTTTGCTTCATTTCGATCTTTTGCGTTTAGGCCATTGAGAGAAGGAGAGCTAGGTTAGGGGAAGACCAAGGCCAGCGAACTGAGAACGCTGTTCCCGCCCAGACTCAACTGCTTCCAGAACTTTCTCAACCTGCGTCTGCGTCTGCGTCTGCGTCCGCGTCCGCCTCAGCTTCAGCGTCTAGGGTTTCTGCGTTGAAATCTCCCAAATCCGTTGGTGTTAAGCTCCGAACACCTCTCGGGAGCAAAGCGCCCAAGGTTTTTCTCGATATCTCTGATCTTCCCGAAGGGGAATCGGAAACTCTCACGCCGCAGAAGAAGCTTCTCAACAACATTGACCAAGTTGAGGAGGCTGTTCGTGAAGAGTTGAAGAAGCTCAAGAGAACTCCCAGTGCCAAGAAAGCAGAAAGGGAAAAGCGCGTTCGCACTTTGATGTCTATGAGGTGAATTGGATAATTGAATAATTCGAAGAAAATAATAATAAAAAAAAATAACTTAGATTGGATTATACAGAGCCAGAGGCTGCAGCGCAGGCGAGTTAAAATTTGTTCTCTGGAGGTTGATTCAGCTGGGATAGTGTTTTTCGATTTGCTTAGTTTGCATCTGCGACTTGAAGGTGCAAGATTGATATTCTTTATAGTTGTTCTAATTTCTTGGTTAGAGCTTCTTGGAGCAGGTTGATAGATAGCATGCCCTATTATCTTTTCCATCATTCTTTGATGGTTTTGGTTAGGTTTGGTTGGGGTAGTTGTTGTTATCCCCGGGCCCTGTACATATTTTCGATGTATTTTCAGTTGGGGATGATACTTGTGTACCAATTGATAATGTGTTCAAGAAGATTAATGCTTCATTTTTGGGTACAAACTTCACTCCATTTCTTGATTTGTCTTACCTTTGTCATATATGGAACCGTGTCTTATAACTCGAGGTCTGCTAAAAATAAGAAAACAGGTTTTAGTTTGTGCAAATGGGTAGCTGAACTTGGTTTTGGCCTTTTTGGTAAATGGTTTAGTTTAAATTAAACAGCACACGCACAATCAATGAGTTTACTAGTTAACATGTGATGAAATGGAGGTAACAGAGGACTCCGATGAAAATGAATTTTCTGCTAATCATGATATACCCATTTTTTGACAAGTGAGTTAAACTGTGCAAAGAGGTTGTTGCTTGATTTTATGGGTACAACTACTAACTTTCCATTTCTTGGAATGTTGTTTTCACTCATAAAAATCCATTCCACCATCTTTGTTGCAGAAGAGAAGCTGAACTTGATTTGGACCTGCTTGCAAAATGGTTTTATAATAACCGAAGGTCTGTTAAAAGTTTATTTTCAGGGATGTCATGGTAACCAATGTGTTATTTCTGCTATCCATAATCAACCCATTTTTTTTTACGTGTTTGTTTCAGTAGCATTGTGCTTTTGCCCCGTTTGGAAGGTCCGCAATAAAAACAGTCTAAACATGACTACAAGCTCACGTGCCACTTATTAAATGGCGTTGGTGCAACAAGAGTGCAGGTGTGTCGTTTCTAATCTTTAGGAGTAAAATCTACAAACTTTCTCTGATCTGTATGATTGTTTTCAAGACCGGGTTAATAATTGAATTGGCGAAGGCATTAATTAAAGGTTGAAATGTGGCCCCGAAAGATTATTTTGTACAAAGACTTTTTGTAAAGAGGTTTAAATGCTTGTTATTAATTTAAGGGTAAAATATCATTACACTAATCCAAATAATTGTAGTGACGGATGATAAACTACTATTACGTTGATATATAAAAAGAAAATTAAAAGTATTTTTTTAAAATATAATGATTAAAAGTTTAACTATAATTTAAATGCCTTATAGAAAATTAATTACATACATTTAAATATGTTTTAAATTATATAAAAAAAATTATATTACTAGTCAAGAGTGACCATACCAAGTTACCAACACACTCCGCCACCGACCAATATTGGTCAAACTTAATTCAATTTTCCACACGATTAGGGGATTGAGTAATTACTAATAGGTTATTTGTCAAACTAGTAAGTTATTGGTCAAACGGTATGATTGAGTATATTTAGCAAAAATTCAGAACTGTTTGAATGATTATATTTTATAAAAAACATCCAAAACATTTACAACATAAATTATTTTCTTTAAAAGTTATAAAATCTCAAAAAATTGACACACTTTTACTCAATTCATTCAGGTCAATTTCGTTAGTCAATTATGTAATTCGAGTGATAAATCGACTGGACTATATTACGTCTATAATATTTGTGATCAATCAATTAATCCACACCTATTCCATAACACTTCTACCTGCCAAAATTTGTTTGAAGTTATCTAAAGTTTCGCAAATAAAAATGATTTTTGAACACTAATTGTTCAATATTTTACATGGTAATATGCATATTATTAATGATAAATTCTTTTAAATATAGGCATGTTGGGAAAAAAGATTAATTAAGTTTTTAACTATCTTATCACGTGACAATTTAATTAAAATTTATTAAAATATATTAAAAAGAAATTTCATGAATTATAAGTTTTTTTTTTTAATTCTACATAGTTTTAGTAAAAATACTTCTAAAAACTACATTGGAGGATATTGTCACTTCTTTCTTATAATAAATTGAATCCTTTTATAAAATTGTATTTGGTTTAGAAAGTTGTAAAGCCGTTTTATCAGTTCTTGGATTCGATTTTTGAATATTAGTATGATTCTTAGGATCAAAGTAGTGAGTCTTCAATTCATATACTTCAATTTAGTCGACTCAATTCAATTAGTTAGTGTGATTTAGGGTTTAAAACATTATTGGGTTGTCAATACTCAATAGAGCTTCATTAATTCATTTTTATCTCAATGGTGAGTCGACGAGTAAAATTTTATTATTTATGAACTTTTTAGGGGATCAAATGTAAATAGATTATTAAGTCTTAAATTTTTAGTATTTAGAAATATTTTATTAATCACCTTTGTTCTTTTTTTCTTTTTAGTATAATAAGGATGTATAACTTTCTTGTATTGAATTTTGATTTAAATATAAAGTAATACTTCCATTGGTAACTTTGTATGTAAATTAAAATTTGAATCTCAATCTTTGATTAAGAAATACCTAGTATTTGCCCACTGCATGATGATGTTACTTTTTTATTTACACTCAAATTTGTAATGTACATTTTTTTAATAATAGGTTTATATTTACATTGTGGAATGAAATAATGTATTTTTATATTTAAAAAAATAAAAATTTGCCATTTTTTCAAAGGAAAACCAAGTAATCAAAATCAAACTAACTCATTATTAATTTGTTTGGTTTGTTTTAAATGAATTTTGTAAATTCGATCCAAACTAATCTAATAAATCAATCCATGAACACCCCCTAATACACTTGTTTAGTACTTGTTACTTTCTTGAAAGCAACTTTTGCAGTCAAATTAGTTTATTCAGTAAGTTATATATAAATAAGAAAATTAGTAAATTTTTTAAGAATCTATTTCATCAAAATTTGAAATCATGCATGTTTAGAACAATTATACATAACAAAGTTGATATTGATCCACAAGATGTGTGAAGTTTGTTTTTGTTTTGTGTTTTTTATTGATCATGATGTTTTGATGTGTTAGAAACATGATTTCATGTTGCAGACTTAAATGCGTGTTTGAATATGCATTGATATAATTGATTTAGAATTAGTGTGAATTTGTAAAATTGATTTTAAGTAAATATGAATAAAAATAACCTAATTTTCTTTTGAATGATAAAAGATATGAATTTGATTTTTATATTAAATATTGTTTTCAAACTTAATATCAGAATTGATTTTAAATGTATAATTATAATTGATTTTGTTTGATGAAGAAACTAACGGATAAGATTTTCACATCTTAAAATCAATTATGTTAATAATCAAACATACTACAAATATGATTTCAGTCATTTGAATGTGAAACCAAACATACTCCAAATCATATTGAGGTAAATAAAAGTAACTTTTGCATAATCTTAACTTCAGTCATCATCTATTCCAACTTCCAAGTATATTCTTTCTTAATAGACTTGCTATAATGTCCGGTATGAATTTGGGTGAGTTATTTTTATAATCATACACTGAAAATTAATTTTGAATATAAGTTAAAATAACATTACATATCTTAAACAATTTTCTAATATACGTTGTTCAAACAAAAATCATATTACGACAAATTCACATTTATTTAAAATCAATTGCATAAAATTACGCGTGTTTAAATCGTAATCTGAATCGCACATCTATAAGCAAAATCAGGTCTAAGTGAGTAAAAGGCAGTAGAAACCACATGAAGTTGCTTCGTCTTGAAGCATGTTGAGTAATGTGGTCTCAAATATTTACGCTGATTCAAAATTAATTCTACAAGCACATATTCAAACATACCCTTAGCCCTCAACAGTTAACAGATTATATTATAAGACGCAAACTTGTTAAAACTTTTATATAAATAAAAACTTGAACAGAAAAAGAAAAAGGCTGTATATCTGAAGGAATATCTGTTATTCTACTAGTGGAGACATTTTGCTTGTTGAATTAGTCACATGGTGCACCATCAAGCTCCACGGTGATTCATGTGGAACCCCACTATTTCCACATAAAAAACTTGCCACGTGATAAGCAAGAGAATCTATTCCTAGCCATTTATGTTCCATTGCTAAGATGGACGTGGAATCCGAACTGTAGCTATCAATGAAAAGGTCATTAATTAATAAACAACATGGTTCCATGATGCAAGCATTTCATTATTCCATGTTGTCGTTTGTATATTAGTTGTTTGCCCGATGGTTTTGGATTTTAGTGTGGTTGGTCACACGTTGAACAATTTTGGATGTAGAATATTTTAGTGTGGTTTTGAACTTTTGATGTGATTTTGTGCTTGATCTGAGATCTCGTGGAAACGAGAAACCAAACAGGTGTAACAAGTTCCCCTGAGATCCGGTAGAAGCGAGCATGAGTAGGTGTAGGTGAGCTTGAATAATAGTAACATAAGCTAACTAATGCATTACGCGTTCTCAACTTGAGTCTATGCTAATTATATTCATAAAAATCTTAAAATTAAGCTAGTTATTAATGTTTCAGTTTAACGCGTGTCCAATCTTTCAGACGCTGATGTAAATACACTATGTTTGGATGCCCTCAACTTGAGTATATAGTTATTAAACATGATGTTTTTCATCAAAATTAACTAGACTCGTGATGTTTATGCCACATGTATACCCTTAATATATATATTTTCGGTGTGAGAAATTAGTTGTTTCAGAATCTATTTCATGATTTTTTGCCGTATATGTTGGAGATCCTACGACGTGCACGAGTCACAACCTCACGTTCCATCCTCGGCTAGTTACTTAATTACAATACTATAGCTGTAATTAAACACCAACTACGTACCAAAAAGAAAACACCAATTTTACTGATAAGTAGTTAGAGTCAAATCCTTATCCATAACTCTTGTTGATGGCGCTGGAGCTACATAACAATTACAATGAGAATGATTAAATGTATCTCCTAATTTTATATATTGAACTGATATTTATGTTTAATATTTTTTTTATATATAATGATAATAATAATAATTTTTTATTTTTAAGAAAAAATATCTCTATTAATCTAAGATTTTGGATCCACCACTGATTCTTGCAAACATAGAAAACATAAGTTAAGGGGAAATGTTCACTTATTGAGTACTTTCAAATTTAAAGAAGGTTAGCTTGCAAACATAGAAAACTTTAGTTGTCTTTCAAACTTAAAGAAGATTAGTTTTCGTATTTGACAGAAATACTCCACAATAAACCATATAAAGAAAAAACACCAACTACGTATATCCTTATTTATAAGATGATGAATAGCTGCAGTTGTTAAATGATTACACTATGATCTGTAGTTTGAATTATTTCTCTTATTAATTCGTACCTTTTTCTAGATACCCTGTTGTCATGTGAAATATTTATTTTCCAAGTTTTTATTAAGGTGATGCATTTTATTTCAACATTCAAAAACTACATATTTTGTTAATATTTTTTTTTTTGTAAATATAGTTATTTAATTTTCTTGTAAAAAAATTTGCAAATTTTAGCTATTTAATTCTGAATTATATACATACACATATATCCATTAAAACTCATTTAAACAATTACTCATAAAATTAATTTTGGTTTCAGCTTTATAAACAAATCAAAGTGTGTGACTCGATCAAAACCACGTCGAAACAGATGTGCTAAAAATAAATTGCAGCGCGCTGCACACTGCAGTCCAGCTCAAATTTATTGTGTAATGAAACGCTATAATTGATGAATATATAGAAAGTGTAACGAATGTTTGGTTTGTATCATATCAGAGGAAGTTTTTGGCATTTACACGCTCCCATTTATTCTACAATTGGTATGCCATTGAAGCCAAAATAAAATCCAAACAAGACAGAATGTTGGAAAACGTTAAAACAAATTACAGAAACGTAATCGCTGAGAGTAGGAGTTGTTGAAACTTTGAATAAGAAGCACGCTATGAACCTTTTGTATATGACATTGATTAAGTAGTGGGTAGCTACTAGGAATGAAAAGCAAGCGCAAGCATCTGTGTAGTGGGTAAGTCCGAATAAAGGCCAAGATGGATTATTGGGGTGAATAATTGGCTCCAGCATCGAGCCAGTGATGAAGACATTGATCTGTTACCCAATAGGAATATTTTGACATGTAGAAACTTAACGTGGCCTAAGCTTTCCATGAAGAAGGTTACACTAGAGACAAACCAGAGAAGGAACAAGAGACAGTAGTATTGGCTACCGATTAAGGTTGCCATGGGAGCTGAAGGCACACACATTCAGAGTAACCAAAGCCTCTGTCTTATAATGTCACATAACACGTTTCGCGGCTACTTTTATTTTTTATTAGATGCGTGGAGCGCGAGGCCTCCTAGTAAACGCAAATAATATTTATGCTCCCCATGTTTTCTCTCAATACAAATAACTGCAAATATAATTCAATTTATTCTCAAAATAACCATATATTTTCAACAAAAAAAAAATCTGTATTAAATAATCTTTATCTACTAAAATTCTTTTCAGAATAGAGGTTTAGATATTGAGATCTTTTTTATTTAAAGAAAATGTATTAAGTAATTTTATATATAAAAAAGATAGGAGGTGTATTTAATAAATAATGGAAGTATAAATAACAAAACTTTTTTTTTCTTCTTTTCATATACGATCCGTATATTTACTTATTTAGTAGTGTTTGATGTAATTTGTAAAGGAGGACCCACTCCCCCATATAAACAAACACTTGATGCACTTGAAGATTTACTTTTCAGCTTTTCATTATGATGGTACAATGGAGTTTAGCCGACATGAATATGGTGATTGTCTTCCCAGAGTTGCCTCACGTGCTGTTGTAAAAATAGAAAATCTTGCTAGAAGATCCTGCAGATTTTATAAGGAGGGCTATCCATCTTCCCCCGTTATAGTTAAAGTCATATTTTCATTTTAAATGGTAATCTTTTTTTGTTTATTTTTGTTGATTTATAAATTTAATTTTTTAATTTTAAAATAAAGATATTTAATCTTTTTATTTTTAAAAATATAAAATTTTGATTCTATGATCAATTTGATATTCATTAATCATTAGATTTTGACATTTTTTTATTAATGTGTCATTATTTAAGTAATGCTATATTTAATGACAAGATATGTGAGAATAAAAATTACATATAAAAATATACTTGTTTGTATCTATTTTAAAAAGTGATTAATATTTATTTTATTAATAAATTTTATTTGTATAATTTTTTTTATTTTCAAATGTCATATTATTAAATGTTTTATAACTTAAGTATGTCTAAATTTTAAAATTTAACAATTAATATATGTCAATTTGATGTAAAAATCAAAATTTTATATTCTTAAAATTAAATAGACTAAATATTTCTACTTTAAAATATATAATTTAGTTTTTTTTATAAGCAAGAATTACAATTACAACGATAATAACAATATTCAAAGATAAGATCATATTCAAAATTAAGATCTTTTGTATATTAAGTTATTTTGTTCTTTTAATAGGAGTGTGTTAATAAACTAACTTTTGTGTATATTCATTTTTACACCAAGTATAGTTAAAAAATTGTAATTATAACTTATTAACATGAAATTAAAAAATAAATGGGCGTCCATCAACAATTCTTATGACTTATATTTTAAGACAAAATGAATGCATTTTATTAAGACAATTGCAATTATAACTTATATTTAAACTAAAAGGTTAAATGGGTGTTAACAAATCCATGTATTGCTCTGAAGAAGAAAACAAAATCCATATATGTAAAAATATCATCAAAAAATGTAACCAAAAAAAATATTTATTAAAAGAAATGTCTTCATCACTTATATTTATTTTATTTACGACTAATTCACCGAGGACCACTTTCATAATTGAGGTGTTGGACCTTTTGATGTCTTTTCTCATTCGCTTCTGACTTTCCCTATTATTTAACCCTAGTTGGTTTACATAAAGCCATCAGTTGCGTCATGGTTTAAAAAAAAAATACATTATTATTGCCGGATAGTCGATGACAAAAAATAAACCCATATTAATTATTGAGTTCACATAAAAAATATTAATTATATATTTGTCATGTTAAAAATTTGTTGATGAACTTTGCAAACAAATTGAAAGAAAAGACTTTCATCCATGTTTGATAATTTTCAAAATTATAAACATGGATATGTTGTTTTAGTAAAGCATATTATAGATAGTGTAAGTATCACCTTTATGCTTTGTTATTGAGAGAGGAACCTGGAACCTGGAACCATATAAGATCAAATTTATGGAGTATGGTGTTTATGGGGCTTAATGTGTTACTTTGTTAGTTATAACTTTTGATGGAGTGGCCAATGATTTGAGAGACAAAAAACTAATAATTCATTACAAGAGACAATAACATAAGATGGAGTAATCGTACGTAGTGAATTAATTAGTATATCACTAAGCTTATTTATATAATGCATCGAAAATTTAGCATCACCAACACGATAGAGACGTTCTAACTTCTAAGGTCTAAGCAAGACGTATTGAAAGTTCTGCAACTTAGTAAGGCTTTTCAGTTTCCACCACGCCTGAATGAATCCATGCATGGATGCTTCTGGTGCTACTGTTTTGTGTTTCATCTTCTTTTCCACCATAGCTTTTCTTATCTTCAAGTCCCTTATCACACGAAGCAAAAATAGTAGAACCCCACCAAGTCCACCAAGACTTCCCATCATTGGCCACCTTCACCTTCTAGGCTCAGTCATACCAAAATCATTCCAAGCTCTCGCTCTTCGCCATGGCCCTCTCATTCAGCTTCGCTTAGGTGCCTCAACATGCGTGGTTGTCTCCAACGCGCAAGTTGCCAAAGAAGTGATGAAAACTCACGAACTCAATTTCTGTAACCGACCCCAGTTTGGATCCTCCGAGTACTTCTTATACAAAGGTTCTGGTTTCGTCACTGCCCCTTATGGCCCTTATTGGCGCTTCATTAAAAAACTTTGCGTCACTCAACTGCTCTCAAGCTCACAGCTTGCACGCTTCGTGCACATACGAGAGCATGAGATAGAGAAGCTATTGAAATCTCTTATGGTGTGTTCCACCGAAGGAAGGGCATCGGATTTGAGCTTTGACCTCACTGCTTTGACCAACAGTATCCTGTGTCGGATGGCTATGAGCACCACTTGCTTCGACCAAGTTAATGATGCTGAGGAGATTCTTGGCTTGGTTCGAGAGTTTTTGCATGTGGGTGCTATGTTGAGCATGGGTGAGGTGTTGGGACCTTTGGGAAAGTTTGACTTGTTTGGCTTTGGGAAGAAGCTTGTGAAAATAGTTGACAAATTCGACCGGGTTTTGGAGCGTGTCTTGGAGGAACATGAAGACAAAAACTCAGAAGCACATGGAGGACATACATGTGACATGATGGATATTCTATTGCAGGTTTGTAAAGATCCAAATACTGAAGTCAGGTTAACCAGGAATGATATCAAGGCCTTCTTCCTAGTAAGTTCTTCTTTTCCTATGGGTATTTATGGTTTTATTGTATATCACAAACTAAGGATAGCTTTTAAGACTCAAAGAATACTTGATAGCAGGATTCAAACTCTCATTACAAGAAAAAGTCGTTTTAGACGCTAAATTTCAGTCACTAAATTCCAAAAGTTGGTCGCTAAATTATTTAGCATCTTTCGTGGGATATGAATTTGATCCTTATTATCTAGACCAACTTTTTTCTGTTATTGTATGCAAACCAATTTTAATACTTGACTCTTGAAATTTAAAGTGTAAGGTAGCACATGAGTGGAATATTACAAAGTGAGTAATGCTAATTTTGTGGTGTGTTGAAAGGATATTTTCCTTGCAGGAACTGACACGTCTTCAGCGGCGTTACAATGGACCATGGCGGAGATCTTGAACAATCCAGGAGTGTTAAAGAAAGTGAGGGCGGAGATTGATGCAGTGGTGGGGACTAGCAGGTTGGTGAATGAATCAGACGTTCCAAATCTGCGTTACCTCCAGTCTGTTGTGAAGGAAGCGCTGAGACTCCATCCAACGGCACCGTTTGTTCTTAGACAATCATCAGAGGACTGCAGCATCAACGGCTATGATGTAAAGGGCCAGACACGGACACTGATCAATGTCTACGCCATCATGCGGGATCCTCAAGTGTGGGTCAACGCAGAGGAGTTTAAACCAGAGAGGTTCTTGGAAGAAACTGATGGGAGTGGAGGTCAACGTGTGATTGCAATGGACGGTGGTGATTTCAGGTATCTTCCGTTTGGGTTTGGAAGAAGAGGGTGTCCTGGTTCTTCACTTGCCTTAACAGTCATACATGTGACAGTTGCATCGCTCATCCAATGTTTTCAGTGGAAAATCAAAGATGGGGTAAGTATGGAAGAAGGGTCTTCGTTTTCTGCAGGATTGGCAAAGCCTCTTGTTTGTTACCCTGTTACTTGTTTTAATCCTTTTTAGCCCAACTTAGTGCATTTTCGCACATTATGATATATCATATGTTGACACTGTATTGTCTTCGTTATGAAAGGGTACCACTGTTGTGTAAAGTAAATTGTTTTACTTCAAAAAGTAAAATCATTAATTGCCATCTAAATGTGACTTTCTAACTTGTCAACACTTTTATGCCAAATAATGAGGATTTGCTCTCATCAGTAAATAAGCACACATATCACATCATAATGCCAAAAGTTAGGAATAAGCCGAACAAAAAAACAAGAGAAGGATTAAGATCGTTTAATTAATTAGCCGACTAAAAAGGACAAACAGAAAAAGAGATTTGATTTTCATTATTCATATATTATTTTCGAGTGATGCAACCTAACGAAAAGTGGACGTAAATAAAAATGGTAGCCGTCGCAGATTAAAAAAAATTAAACACTCTTAATATGATTTAATTTTGATGCACCCGATCACCAATTATTCTATTCTATATATTCACAATCATTACTAAAAGCCCAAGCTCTTTCAATAATATACTAATACGTACGTCATAATAGTATACAAAACTTCACTTGAATATTCTGTTCAATTTACACTCTTTACAATATACATCAAGCTTTCATGTGATTAAATTTCAACCTGCAGAAAATTAAAATTAAATCAGATACCTTTTATAAGTACGTCAAGCTTCTGTTTCCGTGCATCAGCATGTGCAAATATAACTTGAACCGCTATGATCTCTCAACAAATGGAGCTTTCCTTGCAAACACAGACAACCGGGTGACGTTTTTATTAGTCACAATCAAAATGTCTTTGTTTGAAAACTAAAATGTTGCCGGCCAGCAATACATAAATGTCTGTTTCCAAAACAAAAAAATAGTATCAAACATAAACTAGAAATTAAGCAGTTCACGCTAGAGTCAGGAGGAAGAAGTCCTTTCCTTCTTATATATGAGGCAAGAAACAAATTTTCGTTTACTTGGAAAAGATCAAATCAAACATGGCTGATTACCAAGGCTACATCATACTTTTCATCACATGGCTAGTCTCCACAATTGTAGTTAGATTCATACTCAACAGAAAACAGAACAAGACTAATAGACCACCAAGTCCATTAGCCTTACCCATCATTGGACATCTCCACCTTCTTGCTCCAATACCTCACCAAGCACTTCACAAGCTCTCTACCCGCTATGGACCCATAATGCAACTTTTCCTTGGTTCCGTGCCCTGTGTCGTAGCTTCCACGCCAGAAGCAGCCCGAGAATTCCTCAAAACTCACGAAACACATTTCTCCAACCGCCCTCAAAGTTCTGCAGTTGATTATCTAACCTATGGCTCTCAGGACTTCTCCTTTGCCCCATATGGACCATATTGGAAGTTCATGAAGAAAATATGCATGTCTGAACTTCTGGGGGGTCACACACTGAGTCAGCTTCTTCCTGTGAGGAGACAGGAGACATTGAGGTTTCTGAGACTTATGCTGGGGAAAGGGAAGGAAGGTGATGATGGGTTTGGTATTTGTTTTGTATAGATATATTTTTCAAGAAGATTATTATATCTTGTTGTGTACAGTATATTTATAAATGTTTTCACATTGGAATGATATTATTTACTTTGGAATTAAATTATCGTGAATTTGCTTTTAATCATCATCCAAAAGACCTTGAACCAATGAAAACTTTATGTGTGTTTATAAACTAATGTTAATTCTCTTGTTCTAATAATGTAAGATTTTATCTGTATATCAACAGTTGAGGCTGTTGATGTTGGAGGAGAACTATTGAGACTCTCAAATAACGTCGTGTCAAGGATGCTTATGAGCCAAACATGTACTGAAAATGAGAGTGAAGCAGAAGAGGTGAGGAAGTTGGTGCATGACACTGTACAACTGACGGGGAAGTTTAATGTGTCGGACTTCATTTGGTTTTTTAGGAACTGGGATGTGCAGGGGTTCGGGAAAAGACTCAAGGAAATTCGGGACAGCTTTGATACCATGATGGATAAGGTGATCAAGGAACATGAAGAAGAGAGGAGGAAAAGAAATGAAATGGGAAGTGGAGGAGAGGGTCAAATCAAGGATCTACTTGATATATTGTTGGACATACATTATGATGAGAATTCTGACATAAAATTGTCAATAGAGAACATAAAGGCCTTCATCTTGGTAAGGCAATCTCTGACCAAAATTTCATTTTCCTTTCAAAGACTGCTACTCTTCCATATTGCTATGATGCAAATAAGGGACTGACAACTAAGTTTGTTAAACTTGTGAGAAAATAGGTTATGCATATTACAATGTAAAAGGATCTCATCTGATCACAAATTGTTAAATTGATATGTATGATAATTTGTTGACTTATTACTCTAAAACAATACTTATTATGAATAGTGTAAAGATTGATAGAGTATATAAATTAAACTCTAGAGTTAAACATTAAAAAAAACTGATTATGTATTTTTTTAAATTTGCAGGATGTATTTATGGCAGGAACAGACACTGCAGCCTTAACAACTGTGTGGGCTCTAGCCGAGTTGATTAATCACCCACATATGATGGAGAGAGCAAGAAAAGAGATTGATGCTGTGATCGGAAATAGTAGAATAGTAGAAGAATCAGACATTGTCAACCTTCCTTACCTGCAAGCTGTAGTCAAGGAAACGCTGAGGATTCACCCCACGGGTCCATTAATTGTTAGAGAATCATCTGAAAGCTGCACTATCTGGGGCTATGAGATTCCAGCAAAGACTCAGTTGTTTGTTAATATTTGGGCTATTGGAAGGGACCCAAATCACTGGGAGAACCCACTCGAGTTCAGGCCAGAGAGGTTTATCAGTGAAGAGGGAAGTGGGAAGAGCCTTTTAGATGTGAGGGGGCAGCATTTTCACCTGATTCCATTTGGGAGTGGAAGAAGAGGGTGCCCTGGAACCTCACTGGCTTTGCAGTTTGTGCAGACCAACCTTGCTGCTATGCTTCAGTGCTTTGAATGGAAGGTTAAAGGAGGCAAACAGACTGTTGACATGGAAGAGAAACCCGGGATAACTCTTCTAAAGGCTCATCCGTTGATTTGTGTCCCATTGCCTAGGCTTGATCCATTCCCTCCCCAGTGATTGTAATCAAAAGTTGAAAATTCACATTTGGGTTCCTTGTTTCTCTGTAATGTTCATCATCATCTTCATCAATTTCACTGAATGTATTTTCTTAGTTGTTTTTGGTGTAAAATTCGAGTTTTACTTTGGTACCATCTTTAATACAAACTTTTATTAAGTAGATCATCAAAATGAAACTTCAATTCTGATAAATAAATAAAAAAATTTAAAAACGTTATAAACACTTAGATTATTACATCCAAGTTGTCTTCTTTTCCCAATAGGAATTATAGCCTGTATAAAGAAGGTCATAGGGTGGCATTCTTATTATCTATATTAATCACAAACCGGGTCTGAGGTTTGCAAAATGGTTGACTAACTTTCATGTGGTTTCAAGTCCAAATGTGATTTACAGCCTGTTATTTTAGGTTCAAAATAAAAATTGAAGCCATAAAGATATTTGTCAACTTACTAGCTATGATAATTTTAAAATGAATATACTGGATATAGCCCAGCCCCCACTACTAAAAAGAGTGAATTTTAAAATATATTCATGAAAAGTTATTGCTCAAACAAAACAATTAAATTACAGAATTCAAAGTAGACCTTGCATCGCAGCAACTTGTGCTAGCCCCCATTACTGACCAGTAAGGCTGTTCTGGAGTGAGTTCAGAAACGATGCTCTCTAAATATACCCTATACCCTTTTTCATAAGTCTAATTTTCAAACTCCTCAACTAGTCAAAAAACTCCAGCTAGTACAAACTATAAAGATCTGAAGTTGTAGATGAGTGGTAAGATTATGAGGATGTCTATTTAGTCTCACTTTTGAGTTTCTTTTGTGTACTCAAGATATGGCTTTTCCAATCTTGCTCTTGTGTTTGGTCTCCACCATTGTGTTTTTTGCATCCATACTGTGGAGAAAACAAAACAAGACGCTTCTTCCACCAGGTCCCATAGCCCTTCCCATCATTGGCCACCTCCACCTTCTCTCCCCAACACCACACCAAGATTTTCACAAGCTCTCAATCCGCTACGGACCCATCATACACCTTTTCCTTGGCTCAGTCCCTTGTGTCGTAGCTTCCACCGCAGAAGCCGCCAAAGAGTTCCTCAAAACTCACGAAACCTCCTTCTCCAACCGCCCCGCTAAAACCGTCGCCGTTGAGGCCTTAACCTACGGTTTCCAAGACTTCTTGTTCGCACCCTACGGACCCTATTGGAAGTTCCTGAAGAAACTCTGCATGTCTGAACTTCTCGGTGGCCACATGCTGGACATGTTCCTTCCCGTGAGGATGCAAGAGACTCGGAGATTCATCAAACGCGTGCTCCACAAAGCTGGTGAAGCTGTGGATTTCGGAGGAGAGTTCATGACGCTTTCGAATAACATCGTGTCGAGAATGAGCGTGAGCCAGACGAGTTCCGAGAACGAGGACGAAGACGAAGAGATGAGGAAGCTAGTGGCGGATACCGCAGAGCTCGTGGGGAAGTTCAACATATCGGACTTCATTTGGTTCTTGAAGAGCTTTGATTTGCAGGGATTCAACACGAGGTTGAAGGAAATTCACGACAGGTTCGACGCCGTGATGGACAGAATCATAAAGGAGCGTGAAGAGGAAAGAAGGAAGAACAAGGAAACGGGTGGAACACGTCGGTTTAAGGATATGCTTGATGTTTTGTTGGACATATTCGAAGATGAGAATTCTGAAATGAAATTGGACAAAGACAACATTAAAGCCTTCATCATGGTAAGCCATTCAGGAAATTAATGCAGTTTAGTTTTGATTTTTTTCATGACATAATTTAAATGCAATGCACGCACGTATTTTGTTTCTAATGACAATATTTAGGACATACTTGTTGCTGGGACTGACACGTCAGCTGTAACCATGGAATGGGGTATGGCAGAGTTAATAAACAATCCACGTGTGTTGGAGAAGGCAAGACACGAGATAGATTCAGTGATTGGGAAAAGTAGAATAGTAGAAGAATCTGATATTGTGAATCTTCCTTACTTGCAAGCCATTGTTAAAGAAACATTGAGGATTCACCCAGCTGGTCCATTGATTTTTAGAGAGTCATCAAGAAGTGATGTAGTTTGTGGGTATAATATTCCAGCGAAGACTCGACTATTTATCAATGTTTGGGCTATTGGTAGGGACCCCATACACTGGGAAAGCCCACTTGAATTCAGGCCAGAGAGGTTTATTGAAAATGGGCCGAGTCAGAGTCAATTGGATGTTAGGGGACAACATTATCATCTAATTCCGTTCGGGAGTGGAACAAGAGTGTGTCCTGGCACTTCTCTAGCGTTGCAGGTTGTGCATGTCAATCTTGCTGTTATGATTCAGTGTTTCCAATGGAAGGTTTATGGCAATGGCACAGTGGACATGGAAGAGAAATCTGGAATCACTCTTCCGAGGGCTCACCCCATAGTTTGTGTCCCTTCTCCCAGGCTTAACCCGTTTCCTTCTATGTGATCGATCAACCATAAGATGTCACCTAAAGATTTATGGCGAGTATGTTTAGATACAAAATATAAATAAATAAAAGTACTTTTTTTTTTTTTATCTAAACAGATTTATTGGCAAAGATTAAATGATGTGTAATTTATAAATAATATTAGGCCAAGAAATTATAAATTTAGAATCAATCGGACTAATAAGCTTGACAACTATTAATAATAATTAGGATAAACTCTAAAAATATCTTTAAAAAGTGGAATTAAAATCAATTCTACATTACAAAATTATCTTATATGTTAAAGATTAATACTCCTTTATATATTATTCATTTTATTCTCTATTATGAGAAGAAGAAAAGAAATATATTGTTTATTTTATATAAGCAAATTTTTATTACTTTTCTCTTATTTAACAATATTTTTCAAAAAATATCTTTCTTTAATGTATAATTTTTTAGTTGTACCGCTTCTCTTAATATTTATAACAGAGAAGATTTAAGAAAAATATTATAAGATTAATAAAATTTAATGTAGATAACTGATTTTTTTTTTAATATGTGCAAAAACAGTTTTTTCTATTTATAATTGAGAACATAGAGAGTATAATTTTCTTTTATATTTTAACATATGAAGGGGATAATGCAATATTTGTATCTTTCAATAGAAAGCATGTAATTTACTTTAAAGATGTTAAGTTAAATGAATTAAATTATATATTTTAAAAGCAATGTAATTAGGAGTGTTTAAAACTAAATCAATCTAAATGAAAAATTACAAATCAATCCAAAAAATCGAAAAAGATATAAAATCACAAATTAGCAATTTAATTTTTAAATTTTCAAAATCGCACAATTTGATTCAATTTTTGGATTGAAATGTTAAATCTCTCAAAACCAAACAAAATTACACTTATTTGTAAGTATTTTTTTCTTTCAAATATACATGACACAAGTATATACAAAATTGGCACATAATCCAAAAGGTGTTTTATAAAATTATAAGCTACTATGTTGTTTTCCAACCTAATATATGTTATAATATTTAAAAGATATTTTATAAAATTACAAGCTACTCAATTGAATTTTAGAATGAAAAGTTATTAATTATTTATAACATTTAAAAATATATATTTTTTAATTGAGAAACTATATATATATATATATATATATATAAGAAAAATATTTAATATGATAACTAAAATTTTATTAAAGAAATATTTTTACTAAAGTAATAAAATAAGAATTGATGTTAAATACATTAAGTGATTAAAATATTTTAATATTTTTATACTTTTAGTTTTATATTTGGCATACGATCTTAAACAAATAACAAAATAATACATATTTTTAGTTTATTTTCAAATAAAAAATTTAAAAATCGCAACTGAATCAAACCAAATTACAAAAGTAGTTTTGTTCAAATTTCATAATTCATTCAAATTTGTAATGACCTGACTACACTAAATAGAATGGATCCATGTAGCAGAAAACATAAACTATTCAACTACTCTAGGATTCTCGTGCAACAATTCTTGGTCATTTATGTAATTCCATATATGTTTAAGTTGAAAACATAATGAACTAAAATCATAAATCCCCTTATTAGGTTACATATACACTGTGTACACATATATAACTTACATAAACTACATATTTGTACACAAAAAGATCTCTAATTGTCAGTTAAGCGTCTATCCAACAAACTTGTCATATTAGAGTGACATCACCAAAACTGAGCCATCAACCACATGTCTCTCCACCAGCTGAACAAGCTATCCTGTTAATCTCGTCCTGCTCCTATACAAAGTATAATCATGTAGTTTTAACTAGAAGAAAAAAGAAAAGGAAAGTTTGTGAAAAGATTCAACATACAAAAGCAACATTAAGTGATAATATAAGTAACTTAAACAACAACAAATGATCTCAAAACACATTTTCAACTTATCACCAGTTACATCACGTACAACTTACAACACAACCCAACTTAACAATTTTTAACACAACAACATTCTCAATATAAATAACGATAAGCAAAAAATATGTTGTCATGCATGTCAACTACGGAGATCCCCTACAACAAAGGTGAACAATTTAAGTGGTTAGACCCTACCAAATCACAACGTTTGACCTATCACAATCAGGTTAAATATAAATAGTGTTAGGTCTCTTAGAGTGTCAAGTATACAACTTAAACTAATTTATCAGGTTTCACTACTTAAACTTGGAAAATCTGGTATGCATAAATTAAGCCTCCTATGAAATTAGTCATCCAACTATCTTTTAAATACTATGTACCCTTCCAGTAATCAGTTAAAGATTTTAAACCTCAACTTCATATCTTACTCAATTGGTTGTTTTATACATGTATAACCCGATCTTTCCCTTATACGAATTTCACATAAAACTTAGAGGATGCAACTCAAAACAACTACTCATTTAGAAGTCAACTTACTTACTGAAAAGTTGTCAACTTGGGCTCTCAAAGCACCATAACTTATATCCACATAATGAGATATTTTAATTTCTAAACAACTTTACTCTCCTCTATGTATCTCAACTAAGACATATATCTTCATCACATGTCTAATGTTATCTCCCTTGGCAAGTGTACCAAATCGTATAAGTAGTTCAATGAAAGTATGAGTATCGTCTCCCAAGGGACTTGCGCAACACTTTGCAATTTCACTTGTTATACTAATTAAGCTACTAGAAAGCAATAAGAGTGCAATTTGTTGCAGTAAATAATGTAAGCAAATAATAAGAATTCTTTTTAGTATTTTGGTAAATACTTAGAGTACAAAACTTAATTCTAATGCAATATTAATAAATTGTTGGGGTTTGGCTTCACTAAACATTCCTCTCATGTTTATCACTAAGCTCACAATAATTATTATTCAGAATTTATCAATCTCTCTCAAAAGTAACCAACCCTAATCTCTTACAAGTTGGCATCTAAGTTTCTAACTTAAACTATCAATCTCTTGCATAGTTTAACCAAGAAACCAGCTTTAAAAACCAGAGTTTAAGAGAGACCAATGGCATTTACTCTATCTCTAGCAATAAGCACCATTAGCTGCTCTATTTCAAGTCAAAGGTTTAAAATCATTTCTCAATCTCTTAAAAACCTCAAGTTCAAGTTAAGGGTGATCAAGGCATAACAAGCATTATGCACAAAAATAGAACAATAAAACTGAATAACAACTTAGATTGATTGCTTAGAGTTTACACATGAGAATGAGTTTAGTTACATCAAACCCCAACAAGGGTGAAGTTAGCTACACATACATGTAGAACTTTACAAATGATGAAGAAAGGAAGAAGCTTGATCTTGAAGGTTCCAGAGCTCTCCAGCCGCGACACAGACTCCAAGAATGATTCTCCTCCCTTTTTCCTCGAAAATCCCACTTTTAGGTCATAAAAGCTTTTGTCTTATGTGAATAATGACATATCAGCACAATCCACGCTAAGCATGAGATGCCACGCTAAGCTTGAGGATGGGTCTGGAGTGAAATGAAGTTTTGGGACTCCCACACTCAGCCCCAATTCCATGCTCAACTTGAAGGCTAAATTTTTGTTCCAGTGATTCTCTGCCAAGCTGAGGCTAAGCGTGGATCTGAGGCTTAGCTTGGGGACTTAACCAAAAATTCCTTCAACTTCGAATTCACCACTTTGTGCTTGACTTCCTTCCTTCTTTCCTAGCTTTCTCCTAAACTATAAAACAACAACCAAATACTTGTAAGTTACCTAAAAACATGATTCAAAGACAAAATGTGATCACCTGACAATTTAGATATGTTTTGAGTTAAAAACAAGGTCTAAAACAAGGAAAATTGATATAAGTGTTTCAAACTAGGCCATAAACTTAATGAAATCATAGCACTTATCATCTAACAATTTTACAACTTAATCAACTAAAACAACATATAACTTCACAACTTCATCAATTATCAATATACAACTTAAAACAACATACACCTTATAACTTAATCAACTCTCATCTATAGGCAACTTTGAACATCATCATTCATAAAAATAATTATCATACTTCAAAATTTAGGCAAGTTACAATATCAATACGCTTTCAACATATCATGGTTGGCACCATCTTTCCCCCACTCGACATCAACTAAGGCAAAGAGCCTTTGGCTCGCCCACGCTTGATGCCAATTTGCTTGTGTCCAACGTAGATGAGGCAGAGAGCCTCTAAGTCAATAACGCTTAGCGTGGCCAAATCCATGTCTAGCTTTAATCAGACAGAGAACCTCTGCTAGACTCACGCCCAACATCACTACATTGGCGCTTAGCATCATTTAAACAGAGTCTATGTCTCGGTCATGTCTAACGCCACTCATCTTGTGTCTGATGTCACCAAGTCAGAGAGTTCACCAAGTTTTCATGCTCAATGCCTCTAATTATCACATCTGGCGTGATTAAGTCAAAGAGTTCCTCACTTAGTTATGTCTTACATTATCAATCCCACGCTTAGCGTGATCAGTGCAAAGAACCCTTAACTTGAACTATGCTCAGTGCCATGAAGGCATGCTCAGTGTGATGAGAATTTTCGCACTTGACAGAATTTTATTTTGGCTTAATTCTCTTAAAACTTAAAAAAGAACCAACATGCAACACACAATACAATATCTAGGCATAAAGTTTTCTTCAAATGCCACCAAGGAACCAAAACTTATTTACAATCTACTAACTCTTCTTAATTCAACCAAACCAGACATACATGAATGAATTCAAACAGAAATCATCACTACAACACAAAAATCATCAATCATAAACTTTCCTTACCTCTAATCGATCCAAAAATGAGAAAAGGGGGAGAAGATGAAAGAAGAGCTCAAAAACTTCATACAATTTTTAACTTGAGATTCTCAACTTTGGAAGCTTTGAATCACTAACTTGGCCTCTTAGATCAACTATAAGGAAGGGTAAGGAAATGATTTTTAGTAGAAGAATAGAAGAATGATTCCTTGGGTTTTAAAGAACTTGTCTATAGCTTTTCTCTTACAACATAAACTTACGAGGTTCACATCTTAAGAAAAACCTTATTATTCTTCCTTATGTTAGACACACGTGACACCGTGTAACAAAACC